ATTTAAATGCAAAATTAACATGATATTCGTGATCAGCATAAAATTCTGTACAGGATGATGTATTTTTTATTGAAATCTAAGATAAAAAAAGTTTCAATGTTCCAAAGGATGGAAATTTTTTCGAAAACAATGAAAGTGAAAATTTTGAAAAACAAAATGGGCTATCATGTTCAGAGTTCGATGCTGATTACACTCATATAGTTTCTTTTCGATTTCATCGAAAACCCTCTCGTCCTTTTAGTTAAATTATCTACCATTTTTTAGCATAAGATATTTTTTCTTGTTGTGTTAAACGTAAACATTTTTTCCAATTATCATATTGATCCGAATTAAACACTGGTTGAGGTAACGTACGCAGAAAATGCTAAAAAGCAAAAATTATGATCTCTCAAGTGACGAAAAAAAATCAAATTCTGTGTAGCAAGGACTTTAGTTTATAGTGATCATGCACTAGGATGAGAATGAATATAAATCAACAGGTGAATTCTGTCTCATAATATTTATAACTTAATTTCAATTCGACAATATGAACTATTCTGTTCATAGATACTTGTACCAACTTGATAATTTGAAAAACAAAAAACTTAGTTGCATGCTCAAGCTAGGATTGAGAAGCATAAGATAAAGGGGACTAGGTTAAAAAAGAGAATCTCCTACGCTACCACATGTACTAATACATTTGTATCATAGCCAAATTAAAACCATTATGTGAATCCTATAGAACAAGATTAACATCAGAAAACTTTTTCTTTTAAATATTATTCTGTCTGAAGATAAGAGATACATTTAGACAGATAGAACAAAAGTACATTTGAATATGAAATAAACAATTGTACTCACTTTAAATAATCCCGATGCTAATATCGGATGTAATTCCTCATCGTCAATCAAAATATTTCGTTCAATTTTTTCTACACATTCTTTGACTGATCTCGCATTGGCCACTTTTCGAAATATTCCTGTTGTATCCGGTCCTTTATTATACAAGAGTTCTAATAAATGCTAGAAAAAAGTGAAATCATAATTTCTATATAAAAACAAAAATGAAACATATTCAAATCATACCAAGATAATTGTTGGTAATTCGTTGTTATTCAGTGAGACAAGTTGTTCTAATGATTGACCAAATAATGAATGTTTTATGGTCGATGTTGTTGTTGATAATAAATAATCATCGATAAATTGTTGTTTGGGATATAATTCTTTTGTTTGAGTTTTTCGTTTTGGAAAAAATCGATGTTTTTTAGTCTGACTATCTTTAAATCGAAAAAATATTAGAAAAATAAAATATTAGATTACAAAAATGTTTATATCTTTATACCTATCATATCACGTTTTCGTAATTCAAAATTATGTGCTAATAAAATATTACTTTGTGACATTGTTGTTGATGTACTACTATTTATTAATGATTTTTCATTATTACTAACGAGTTTATCATTATGTGCATGACTCGAATAATCATCTTCAAATGATGTTGATTTAAGATGTTTTAATTTAATTGCTGATGGATATTCATGACCTAAAATGAAGTATAAAATTAATTCAATGAGAATGTAGAATAAATTCATTGTGTTATTCATTGTTAAAAGAATCAATGAACAAGATAACATAAGACAAACTTTCTAAATAATCTCTATATATATATACTCTATTTTAAAACACACTTTCCTACTGTTTTCCATGAGAAAAAGAAAAAGCGTCTTGTCGTGCATAACAATATATAAAAAAAGACTTCGATGTCATCCGACAAATTAAACTATACTCTATTAATCAAATACAATGATGGGAATCTATAAAAAAATTGTATTTGTTTGTTTTTTTTCTAAAAATATCTTATAATATGTTAAAAGTTCAGTAATCAAATGACACAATAACTAATGATAGTTCAACAAGACGAAAACAAGATTGTTTTTAATCCTCTCTTCTTAGAACATTTATTTTTTTTCATGTTCGTTCTATAACTAATCTCACTTTACCTGCACAATATTTGTATCGTAATTTAGAAATGTCATATGAAGTTGTATTTGTTTTAAACATAAGAATAATATTCTTGTTTATGTTTGATTATTATTATTTGCTTTATTTTTTCTTTTATTCACCAATTATGTTTATGAAGGAAGACAAAAAAAAATACAAATTATACACCTAAAACATTTTCAAAAAAATAAAATGAAACTTTATGATACTGTTTGTATGTCTTCTTTATCTCTTTTTAAAAAAAAAATGAAATAATGTTTGAATGTGATGAGTTTAAGAATGTTTTTTGTATATTGAACTCATCTGCTCTCGTTTCTCTCTCTCTGTCTCTCTCTCTAAACGTAAAACATAGTTGTTCACTCTTTTTTCTTCTACTTTTTTCTTTTTTATTTTTCTTTATTGTTGAGTTCATCTTGGATGTGTGAAACGAAATGTACACAAAACGAGGAGTTTTATATACATTGTATTTCATTTTTCTTTTTGTTACAATCTTCGTTATGCATGATCTAAATTTTCTTTGAATCGTATAGATGTGTATGTTGTGTTATTTTACTATAAAAAAAACAAAAACGAATGAATAGAAAATTGTTCAATCTAACACACACACATACATATATATATATATATACATGAATATGTGGGTAGGCATAGCTCTAAGAAACAAAAATAAAGTATGATGAATATCGTTGAAACGTCAATTAAAAAACAATAATATTAGTACAATCTGATTATCTATTACATAGTTGAAATATTTGAAACAGAAAAAAAATGAAGTTTATAACTAGAAAACAAAAAAACATGAAAATTTATTTTTAGAAAAATTAAATAAATATTAAAAAATATTTTCTAGTCTTTATAATCTCATACTAATTTCGTATCCAAATCTGTAAAAATGAAAATTCACTCTAATTTTATTTTTGATCATAAATTTTCTCATATTTTGAATGTGTGTATTTGTGTGGGTGTGTGTGTTTTTTAATGTGAATAGAAGATGTAACTGTGATATATTTTACAATAGTAATTAAAAACCCACCTTCAAAGTTAAACTGAGCTACTAGTCTCAGATCTGTCATTCAAACTAAAGCCCTTCAACTTTGAAAAAAAAACGAATAATCTAATCTTTTTCCAACCTACTATAATAATGAATGTCAGAATGTTTCATTGCCTAACGTATCATAAAAGTATTTACAAATGGCTTTTGTTTAACTTCGATCCACACACATTCTTCAATTTTCTTCTCTTTTTTTTTTTTTCTCCTCTCTTTCACATAAGTAAGATTAAAAAAAAGAGAGCACATGAGTTCAATATAAAAAAAACATTGTTAAACAAAAAACATTAAAACATAATTTAATTTTTTT